ATTCTTCATTCATGTGTGACATCAGATTAATTTTGTTTTTAGAAAAGCTTTCTTTTTTATGCTCCTTCACTCTCCCTTCCATCCAGGAAATACAACCACACATCACAAGATAACTTACTGACCCACAAGGCAGATCTGAGAGTGGTCCATGTGGTGAAAGTCCCCACCATCCCCTCTAATTAAGGGAACTTCACCAAGAATGCGTAATAATTAGGTTACCGAGCTGCAATCAGGTCCCCGGCATCTGCCTGGGGTCCGGGGAGGGGGTGTCCAATGCACTGAGGCTTGTAAATGAATGCGTGCTTAGCCCACCTCGCTGTCATCAAAACCGAACAAACCCTGAGAAATCTGTAGAACATTAGGGCATGTGGAAAAAAACCCTGCAGCACCCTAGTCTGATTGGTCCCTTCGCTGGGAGAGAACCACCCACAAACTCTGAAAGATGACATTCCATCCACCCCAACCCCACCAGCCCCCAGCGCAGCTCTTTGACGGACAAGTTACAAATTGAAGCCTGTTTTGGAAAAACTCCCTTTTCTCGGTTCTCTGTTCTGGTTTAAATTGACCATTTCTTAAAAGCAAATCTGTTTCTGCTGTTGCTTGTTTAGGAAATTAACCACTGATTTTTTTTTTTTCTTTCTTTACTCCAAAGAGCATGTAATGACGAAGAAAATGGTTTTCATGTGAGGTGGTACTGTCTGATGGCGTGGGTGTTCCGGCTGGGTTTACAGAAACAGGTGCTCTGCTTCAGAGGGAAAGAGCAGATTGGGGGGTTTTGCCAAGGACCAGCGCTTGCAGAGCCTGCTGCATAGCAGGCTGGGTGTTGACACCTGCTCCCTCGCGCCATCCTCGCTGCACGTCACATGGTAGAGGGATCAGGGTGGACTTGAATGGGTCAGGGGCCTTTTGTTAGTTAAGGAACATGGTGTGAAGGCTCCCATATTTTAGGCTTTATTTCACTGGGCGGCGTGTTGGGTCAGTCAAAGGGGCCTCGCCCTCCAAGCTGCACAGGGCGACTGAAGCCCACCAACCAGGGCGGTGTGTTTGTGGGATGCATTAGGGATGTGGTCAGCAGGCAGCTCCCAATGAAGCCGGTGGCTTTTGTCGTGCCCTTATTCCAGGTGTATTTCACGTTAATTAATGCTGAGGCTCCACCAATTTTTTTCCTTAGTTTCTCAGTCTTTGCAACCCTGGAAAAATATTTTCTACTTGGAGAATGTGGTCTGGCCCTGATTAACACTCTGCATCACTTGACTCCCGGGACACTTGTGCTTTTCTTGGGCTATTCCAGACGTTTCTGCCTCTGTACAACTAGTTTTTATCAAGTGCTTTCACCAGAGGTGCCGCCTCCACAGTTCAAAACAATCTACTGAGCAACATGCAAGCAGATTTTAGGAAAACAGGAAATAACAAGAATGCTCAAGAATAGATAGGTATTCTAAGGGACCTTTGGGTGACTTTGAATTTTTGTTTTAATTTTTCATCATCCAATAAGTATTTGAATCCCTTCTCTTTTATAAAATGTTAGCGTGTTCTAGATCCTGCTGAAGTTTACTTTGATCATCATCACCTCTAATTCCTGTTCCCACCTCTCTGCCTGCCAGAAGTAATTATTGTTGACCCAGGGTATATCCTTTAGGATATTTACAAATATATAAGTGCCCATGGAAAATATGTAGGAACATTTTATGTATTTATAATGTATGGTAAAACATGCAGTGTATAACTTTCAGAAGATTGCTGCTTTCACTCAATAATATGTTTTTGGTGTATCCATATTAATACATGAAAGTCAGGTTCATTTCTTTCAATTGAATCTAGTTTTCCATGGTTGAATATACTACTCTATTTTATTTCTCTAATCACCTTTGGCTGGATAGCTATATCGTTTTCCAGCGTTCTCCTACTTACAAACAGTTCTATAATGAACATCTTTTTACTTGTCTCTTGCTCACAAGTATAAATTTTTCTTCTAGGAGAGATAATGAGAAGTGGAACTACTGAGAATGTTTTATTTTTTTTTATTTAGTTTTTAAAATCTAAGACATTTATGCATGTAGTTTAAAATGCATGCAGTCCTCCAAAGGGACGTACAATGAAAAACAGCGGTCTTTCTTTCTACCCAGAGGTTACTGCTTTGAGCTCTTGCTGGTTCTTTGGTATTTACCTCCAGAGTTCTAGGTAACCTCCTTAGGTGAGTACTTCTTGATCTTTTTTTTCTACGTAGGCATGATTTCTGGCTTCTCAAACTAGAAGACAAGAATTCAGCTCTTTTCTCACCCTTGCCCCCCTCACAGACGTGCAAGCTTTCTCATCACATCCTCCTAGTGTCAATAAATCAGCATTTCAGCTTTATCAGCATCGAGGATTTGTCTTCTTAACACCATACAAATACGTTTCACAGATAAGCCATTTTGTATACAATAATTACTTTCCCTGTTTTATGCACTGGCCGGGGAGTGGACATTTTCTAAGCAAATCCTTTCAGCGGATGAGTCCCAACAGCAGCTTCCTCTTGCTCCTGGTCCAGCGCATTGCGGCTGGTTGTCGGTGGTCAGTGCACGCACAGCCTGGCCTAGAAGGAATGCGCAGTTATGCAGAGGTGAAATGGTTGGGGTATGAGTAATGCGTGAAAACACCCCCAGAACCTTTTCCCAGGTCGCACAATGATTCCCTCTTGGCCCTGAAAAGTTTGTTTTCCTCATTTTGTCTTCATTTTTCACCGAGTGCTCTACCCTGCAACGTCCAGCCAGGACTCTGAGTGCTGAGCTCTGGCGGTGGGGGCCCTGATGAAGTGTTTTGCATAATGGCTGCGTTCCTGGCCTTCATTCTTCACTGTGTGTGCGTGTGTGTGTGTGTGTGTGTGTGTGTGTGTGTGTGTGTAGCTGAGATCACCGGCTACATTCTTCTAAGGGTCGAGAAGGGTTGATGTTGTTAATTATTTATTTCTATAATAGAAGTAATACAACCTTTCCGTAAAAAGAAAATTCAAACAGGAAGGGAGATCTACAGAGTTCCAGTACAAGGTCCCCTTTGCCCCACCCCCACCCCCAGTCCTTTCAAGACCTCCTCAAAAGCAGTGCTGCTCTAGAATCAGATTTCCTGGGTTCAAATCCCAGCACTTCCTAGTCATGTGACCTTGATCAGGTTATCTAACCTTTGTGAGCCTCAGTCTTCTCATCTGTAAGAGGGGAAAATAATAGGGTTCACTTCCAAGAGCTCTGACTGAATTAAATGTTAATACATATAGAGTGGCACAGAGAAAACATGCAATAGGCATTAACCGGGAATATTACTAAGTGTTGTATATCCTTTTAGACCAGTGGTTCTTAATGTTGGCTGCACCTCAAAATCACATTGAGGAACTTTAAAAATTCCTGATTCTCAGACCCCACCCTCAGCAATTCTGATTTTATAGGTGTGGGGCTCAACCTGAGCCTCAGTATATTTTTCTTTTAATTGTTTTATTTATTGATTCGAGAGAGAGAAAAACATCGATTTCTTGTTCCACTTATTTATGTATTGGTCGCTTCTTGTGTATTCCCTAACCAAAGATCGAACCCGCAACCGTAGCGCATCAGGACAGCGCTCTAACCCAGTGACCTACCCGACCAGGGCTGAGCCTCAGGATTTTAAAATGCCCCTCGTGTCATTTCAGTGTACAGCCAGGGTTGAGAACCCTTATGCCACATATTTTCCACGTGTGTCAGTTGGGATCGGTGAGGCTATGCTGTAATAACAAACATCCCCCGAATCTCATCGACCTCTCATTTATGGTCCACGTTCATTGTGGTCTGTTGCAGCCCCAACCCACGTCATCTTTCCTCTGGAACCCAGGCTGTCAGGGTAGCTTTTATCTGGAGCACTTAGTCTTGTGATGTGGGAAGAGAGAGTACATGGCAAACCATGTCCTGACTCCTAAAGCTTCCCACCGGAAGTGAAGCATTACTTCGGCTCATAGATCATTGGCCAAAGCAAGTCACATGATCCCACCTGATTTTAACAGGGAGGGTCTATATCAGGGGCCTGCCGACTGGGAATGGTGAGATAGTAAACATCTTAGGCCCCACAGAACATAGGGTCTCCATGGCAATTACCCTCCTCTGCCTTCAAAGCACAAAAGCAGCCATAGAGATGGTACACTGTCAGAAAATATATAAAAAATTATTCTCAGCTTGTGAGCCATAGGAAAACAGGCAACAGGTGAGATTTAGTTTGACAGCCCCTGGTAGACACCACCTGCCTACAGGGAGAAGCTTTTCAGGAAGGGACCCCAAATATGGGTGAAGAGTAATGCAATCTACCATGCCATGTGTATAGAAAAGAAGTAGAGCAAGAAGGGACCGTTTTATTGCCGAATGTGTGTCCCACGTGATACTGTGATACAGCTTGCTTTTGTTATTTATACTGTATTTCTTCGTGATCGTTTCATACCAATAACACTAACATGACTTCGTTTTTTTAATGGCTGCTTCATTATCCCTGGTTTAGGATGCACCCTAGTGGGTTTTGTGTTAGTTTTTATAATTAATCTCTATTGTTAGACACCAGTGGCATTTAAGATACTAGGAGGAGTATGGCGGCCTGCACAGAGAGATTGTTGTAAAGAGACAGCCCGTATCCCAGCTCTCCAACTGTTTGTGCATAGTTTACGCCACTTCACCTGCCCTGCCATCTCTCAGGCCTCCCTGAAGATGCGCGTTCCCAAGAGGCCGTCCTGCTCCTTGCAACACTGAACACAGTTGCACTTCCAGGGGCTTTTAAGGGGAGAATGAAATACTAAAGGGGGGTAAATATAAGTTATGAAAAACCAGAAGGGAAATCTCAGAAGCTGTGCATTAGCACCCTGACCGCACACGGGGACACATTTTAAGCCGTGCACTAGACGTGCACGAGCCGTGCAGATGAAGAAAGGCCTTTCGGAGGTGGGACGGGAGGGGGAGGGAGGCTGAGATGGCACGACTCGCTCACACGGGACCCTCCTCCCCTCCTTCCAACAGGACACCACGACATCCGTGCGTATCGGCCTGATGATGGAGGAAATGATCTTCAACCTCGCAGACACGCATTTGTTCTTCAATGACCTGGAGGTTTGCATGGCTTGTTTCATTTCATATTCGCAGTATTTAACCACCTGCTTCTGGTTTGGGGGAAGAGTTTCTTTTCTTTTTCTCCCTCTTTTTCCTTTGAAGGCTAGAAACTTGTGCTAGGCAGCCCCTAAGAAGGCACAAAACTAGGGCCAGCAACAGCTGATTAAAAACACACTAGACTGGATTATCTCCCCGGCTTCCCTGGGCAGTTAATGGGCCTTTCTCGCCTCTCTACGGGTGATGTCCACTGGCAGTTTTACTAATCCAATAAAGGCTGCGTCGTTTCTTCCTCCTGAAATTTGCTATTTAATAAGTTAATTAAGGCAAATTAGTCCAGATCCTCCTGGATCCGTAGTTATTAGCAGTGGGCCAAGATGGAAGCTTTTAAAAAGCAATTTACATTCCCCTAAAAACGTGTTTTACAAAGAGAGCAAGCAGAGGGGCTATGCTTATTTAAAGTATCTGCTCCTGTCCTTGCTGGTGTGGCTCAGGAGCTTGAGCACCGGCGCGCGCACAGAAAGGGAGCCAGTTTGATTCCTGGTCAGGGCACAGGCCTGGGTGGTGGACCAGGTCTCTGGTTGGGGACACAACCACATCGCTGTTTCTCTCCTTCTCTTCCCCTCTCTCTAAAAATAAATAAATCTTTTTAAAAAGTAAAGTAGCTGCTCCAGGTCTCCTTTAAGCAAACATCAAGGGAGAGAGGAAATGGCGAAAGGAGCTTCAGAAATAAATTTAATTCATTTGTTTATGCCCAGCCTGTGTCAAAAAGATTTAGAAATAATTTCAAATGGAAAATATATTTAAAATGGAACTACTAAAGCAAAGGAATAGAAAGCTAGGGTAAGGTGTTGTACTAAAAAATTCTGGCTTAAGCTAACTATTGAAATTAAGTTCAGAGTTAATCCCTGAGCTCCCTGGTAGCCAAAGCAAAGAGGGAACTATAGTGCATTGGTGACCTCTAATGAAAGAGCAAGCAGCTTTCTCCAAAGTGAAGAAGGGTGTTCTGGCTGATTAGAGGAGTAATGCGAGGGCCTGTGGCTTTGTAAATTATGTCTCATTATTGCTTTACCAGATTTAAAAATAAAGGCAACCTAAAATAAAACCGTTCATGAAAGAACAAGTCTACTTATCTTAGTAGGAATTTTTTCCCCAGAACCTGTGAATCCCTGCGGACTAAACTGTGAAGTAGAAACATGAGGGCCACGAATTCCAAATCCGCCCCGCCCAGCCCAGTGTGATACTAATGTTCCTCGTCAGGAGAGGAGACAGGGTTTCCTTTCCAGCCGCGAATCCGGGGAGGGGGCCGGGCAGCAAATCCTTGCCGAAAGCATCAGCCTTGCGTTCTGTTCAGTCTAGGCAAGCCGTTTGGGCCTCAGCCCTCCTGTATATGAAAAGGATTTGTTCTCTGCCCAACATCTGTCTCAAAGAGAGGCTCGAGGTTGAAACTTGTTGATGAGGAAAGAGAGCTTTGGAGGGGCGGGGAACCCCAGTAGCACCAGGGCCTGCGGCTGTCTCTAGTCAGCGGCAGCCTGCAGCCTTCTTTTACAATGACGTCTCGTGCCTTGGAGGAAAGAAGGGTCAGGAGAGATGAGAGGAGAGAGAGGGAGAGAAATTGAGAGTAAAATAGAGCAAAACAAAATAAACCTGGCAGTTGAATTCAGCAAGTATTTATGGAGTCTAAAATAGTAAAGACTCAGCTGATTGCAAAGAGCAAAGCCCAACTTGCTTTATTTAAAAAAAAAAAAAAAAAAAAGGAAGTTATTGGCCCTGTAGTGGAGAAGCTCAGAGTAGATGTAGCTTTTTCCCTGTCTCCTCCTTCGAATGTCAGTTTCATGAGAGCAGGGACCACATCTGTCTGAGTCACCCTAAATTCCCCAGGGCCAGGCGGTGACCAACCAAGCCAATCCATAAGCAAGAAAGTTTATGATAGTGAAAAGGATGTGAAAAAAAATAAAACAATGAGATGTGACAGTGAGCGATGGGTGAGGGGGGTACGATGGGGGACCAGCGTTCCGAGGGGGTCGGGGAGTGCCTCTCGAGGAGGTGACACTTGAGCCAAGGCCTGACTGATGACAGGAGCCAGCTGGGCGGAGGTCGAGGGAGGCGGGATCAGCAACTGCAAAGGCCCGAGGTGAGAACAGTGTGAAGTGATGTGGGATCAGAGAGAAGGCCACACGGCTGTAGTGAGTAGGGGCGCCCAGGGTCTGCCAGGCCAGGTAAGCCCCGAGCGGGAGGCCTGGCCTGACGTGGTCACAGACATTGGAGTGTATTTACAAGTACTGTGGGTGCCCATGGTGCCAGGGAGCACCCGCGGCCTGGCTGATGTTTTAAAAAGGCCACTCTGGCTGCTACATGGAGCACGAGCAACAGGAGGAGAAGGGGGGAGGGGGCAGGGAGACCAGCAGGACGTTATTGCAGTCGTCCACGCAAAAGAGACAAAGTGGGTTGAATGGAGGTGGGAGGAAGACGTGGGCGCTGGGGTGGAGGTAAAGCCCTGAGGACTTGCTGACGGGCTGGGTGTGAGGATGAGGAGAGAGCAGAGTCCAGGGCGATTCCTGGGCTTGGTCCCACCAGGGCGACAACGCGTCCTCTGAGATGGACAGAACAGGGAAGGCGTGGGAGCGCAGCAGGGGACACCCCCCCCCCCGTTCTGTCCAGGGCACATGGGTGTAAGATGTCTGGGACACCCCGGTGAAGGCGCCAGATCACCGGGGTCTGAAGCTGGTTTGCAGGAAAAACTCCAGACACGTAGTGGGCACTTTGGTTGTACCTGAAGCTCAGAGACGGGTATTTTGCGGGATTGGTGTGTTTCCGGCGGCGTTTCCGGCACCTTGGCCCCTCTGCTCTTCCTAGCTGGCCCCGAAGCCAAAGTGGCACTGCTCACAGAAGGATCGTAATTACCAGCTGGAGCTACTCAGGCAAGGCAGTTTGTTTTTATTCTCTGAATTTTTTCAAAACCGTGCCCAGTGCCAGAAGCCCCCAGGGCACCTCAGCAGGACTGAAGCCCTGTTACGCGGTGGGGAAGTTGAGACTCACACACGGGGAAGCATACTGCGCGCCGGGGCAGGGAGCCCCTGCTGCAACTACAGGCCGCCCCCTGTGGCTCCCAGGGGCCGTTGGGATGGGGAGAGGCCCAAGGTCTTCGGAAGTCCAGCAGAGGCCCGGCTCCCGGAGGATGGTCGGGTTTCGGGAACAAAGTGAGACTCTTTTCTCTGTAAATCCGAGGTCAGCTCCCAAGTGCAGCAGCCGCTGGCAGAGAGCTCACCCGTTGCCAGGCCCCACTTAGTGCTGTGGATTGGGTGGCAGATGAAACACCGTGAGATCCCTGCCCTCAAGGCCCTGACCCTGCGGTTGGGGGAGCAGGCCATAAACACCAGAACGGTGATGTCCCACGAAGTGCTCCCAAGGGAGACAGGCAGAGTCAGGGAGGAGGTGGTTACAGGGGCTGTTATTTGACCAGGCTGAACCAGGTAAGGCCTCTTTGACACTGGAGCAGAGATGGGAAGGAGAGGAGAACCTGGGCGAAGAGTGTGTCAGGCAGAGGGAACAGTGGTGCAAAGGCCCTGGGGTAGGTTTCGCAACCATAGCCGCTGGAGAAGGAGGAGCAAGGATTGTGGTGGACAGTGGGGGTTAGAGGACAGATCCGTGGGGCCTTTGTGCCATTGTCAGGCTTTGGATAATATTCTAAGGGTGACAAGAAGCCCTTGGAGGGTTTTGAGCAGGGCAGCGATGTGATCTGATTTACGGTTTAGAGGCTCCCTCTGGCCGCCAAGTGGAGAACAGACCGCAGCGGGCACGGAAGGAGGCAGGTTTCCGCGTAGAGCAGTGGTTCCCGGCCTCCCAGAAGCACTCAGGAGAAGGGTCTGCGAGGCGTAAGGATGGGCCAGAGACAAGGTAAGGGCCACATTCAGCTGTAGCTCAGGCCATTCAGGATGTGTGTTCTGAGTTTAAGGCAAGTACCTTCTAATCAATCTGCCTTTGAGTCCTGGCTCCACTGTCTCTATCATGTGTGACCTAGGTGAGTCGCTCCCTCTCTTTGAGCCTGTTTCCTCATCTGCTAAATGGTTAGAAGAAATGCCCCCCCTTCCAGAGCTGTGACAATGACGAAAGCAGGCGGCCCAGAGCCTGGCATACATTACACGCCCCGTAAGTGGGCCTCTCCACCAGAGGGCGACAGGTGCCATGGACCTAGGCCGGGGGCTGGGGGTGGGGGGCGTACACGGGCAGGGGGCAGACTACCTAGTAGAGGAGCAAATTGTTTCATTCCAGTTGTTAGATATTTATTTTACTACAAGTTAGAATCATATAACCAGCTTGCCCAACCCCTGATTTTACCATAAGTCAGTATTAATACGGTACAACAGCAAACCCTGACCCACTTAAAGGGTCAAGACCAGCATAATATCTTAAATAATTAAAGAGTAAGGAATAAAATAGAATAGAATAGGGTATACCACAGACAGTAGCGATGACTATTGTTTTATAAATTATTTCAGTAATGTAGATTAGGTTTCAGTAATGTAGATCTCTGTGTGGCAGAAAATGAGCTTCTTACTGAAGATCACAGTCAAAACCATTTGAAGGCCGATGCTGCAGAGCAGTGCCGTCCCCCCGGTCCTGCGACAATGTAAATGGTCCAATCTGCGCTGTCCCGCACGGGAGCCGCTGGGCACCTGTGGCGACTGAGCACTTGAAATACAGCCAGTGTGGTGAGGCACTGAGTTTTTCATTGTATGTAATTTTAACTAATTTTAATGTAAATAGCCACATGTGGCTGGTGGCTATCATAATGGACAGAACATTGGCATCATTGAGGAAATTCTATCAGTGCAAGTCTGGAGCTTGTAAGGTAAGAACTGTATTTTCAGTCAGGAGGGTGAGAGTAACAGTAATCATGGCTGACATGCACTGAACGCTTACTAGGTGCCAAGTACTGTTCTGAGCAGTTTGCATACATTCACATATATGATTCTCACTCTATTAACCTTGTTGTAGTAATC